TCCCAGAATTCCCCAGGCAGCTGTACTGTGCTGGATGGGGAATTCTGGGAGTTGAAGTCCGCAAGCCTTGAAGTTCCCAAGGTTGGACCGCCCTGGTAGAGGCTCTGTAGCTCCAGCAGTGGGTTAGACTAGAAGACCCCCAAGCTCCCTTCCAATCCAGTTATTCTATATTCTGTCAGAGCATATCCAGTGCTCCGTCACTGGAGGTTTTTAAGAGCCTAGACAGCAGGGGGCTGGACTAGAAGACCTCCAAGGTCCCTTCCAGCTCATTCTCTTCTAAGAGGCTCCAGTGCTTCTGAACAGCCCCTTGAAAATGGACTTCAATTCCCAGGATTCAAGGTTGAGAAACCCTGCTCTGGTGGGCACCCAGGGGCTTGATTAGATGACCTCTGGGAAGCCCTCAAACTGTGATTCTGTGTCCTCTCCAGGAACTCAGCTTGCCGGGAAGGAGCTCGAGTTATAACCATTTGTTTAGTGACCTCAAAGGAAGGACTTCGCTCAGAGGGATGAAGAGGCTGCAGGTGAAGGGGGGAGAAGCCCCTTCCTCCCCCGCAGGTCCCCCCTCCCCTCCAGGCAGGGATGGCCCAGATATTTACAGGCATTCCTCATTTAGTGACTGTTCCTCAGACTTATGACTGTATTTCCAACTTACGACTGTTGCAGCATCCCCAGAGTCACATGATTATAAGACACTTGGTGAATTGGCTCACAATTACGACGGTCGCTGTGTCCCAGGGTCAGGCAATTCCCTTTTGTGACAGTCGGAAAAAAGCAGAATCAATGAGGGAAGCCAGACTCACTTCACGACCGTGGCAGGAAAGGTGGCAAAATGGGGCCAAATTCACTTAACAACTGCCTCATTTAACAACAGAATTCTCAGGCACGTTGTGGTCATAAGTCGAGGACTACCCGTACTTTTTTCAAACTGGAAAAGCTGGACACTATTTTGCTGTCACGCAAGTCCAGGCCGGCTCAGTAAACCTGAGCAGGGGGTTGGACTAGAAGACCTCCAAGGTCCCTTCCAGCTGTCAACTCGTCAATTCCCTCCCTTGCCTCCATTCGCGGGCTCGCTCGCTCTCGGGCAGGAGAGGGTTAAACAAAAAGCGCTCAAGGGAGGCTGCTTGATTTATCCCTTTTCGGTTGCCGTACGGAAGGCGGGGCTTCTCTTTGCTAGTTGCGGCTCTGGAGGGAGCCTAATAAGTTCCTCCGAGCTCCGTCCAGCCCCGCCCGCTTTCCCTCCCTGCCCTTCCTTAAGATGGGCAAACGCTCCTTCACGCGGCGTGTGTCCTTTCGAGCCTTTGATTGGACGCTCCCGCTTGCCGATCGGGCGAGGCTCCTTTCCATTGGCTGGCTTTCGTTCCAAGCGTCGTAACTCCGCCCCCGCGCCGGCCGGGCTCGAAGGCGGCTTCCGCGCGGAGCGATGGCGGCCGAGGCGAGAGGCGCGGCGGCCCGGGATGCGGCAGGTGCGGAGCTGGGGGGGGGGGGGGGGGGGTAGTCGGCAGGGGGGTGCTACTGTGACCCTCCCCGCGCCGGGTCCCCTTGGCGGGGGCGGGGGCTCCCCCCTTGCCCACTGGGGTGGGTCCTGCGGAACTCCCCGCCACGGGCGAGGCGGGAATGAACGGGGGCTTCCCTTTTCCGCCCTGCAGAGAAGGCGCGGGGCAAGCAGGCCGCCCTCTCCTTCGCCGCCATGGCCGTCCTGGTGGGGCTGCCCCTCTGGTGGAAGACGACCGAGACCTACCGGGCGGCGCTGCCGGACTCCGAGATCGCCGCGCTGGACGCGCTTCTGGTGAGAAAGGACTCCCGGCCCCATCAGCCCCAGCCTTTCGGTGGCTGTGGGCGACGGGAGTTGTAGTCCAGGACCCCCTGGGGTTGGCTGCTGCGCTGGAGGCGGGCAGCTTTCGAACTCCGCTCCCTGCCCAGCCTGCCCTTTGATCCCGAAGGACTGACCAGGGACCCTGGACTCACCCCTTCTGGCTGTGGCTTAGATTGAGAAATTTGGACGGACACGCTCCCCGAAACAAGCCACAGACTCAGATTACAGATTAACAGAGTTGGAAGGGATTTTGGAGGTCATCCAGTCCAACCCACCCCCCGCCCAAGCAGGAGACCCTACACCTTTTCTGACCAATGGCCGTCCAGTCTCTTCTTGGAAGTCTCGAGGGATGAAGCTCCCACAACCTCCGAGGGCAACTTCTCTTCCATGGGTTGATTGTTCTCCCTGTCAGAAAGTTTCTCCTTATTTCCAGGTTGAGTCTCCTTGGTCAGTTTCCATCCATTCTTCCTTGTCTGGCCTTCAGGTGCTTTAGAACAGGGGTCGCCAACCTTTTGGACCTCAGGGACCACCAAACTCATAATTTTAGATCCCAGGGACCACTAACTGGTTCTGTGGGCGTGGCCTAGTTTGTGGGTGTGGCTTGGTGGTCATGTGACTGGCTGGGCATGGCTTGTATGTAAATATTATAAGTATTTATATAAATATTGAATTTTTTTATTAAAAAAGAGCAACTTTTACCCAAAATCAGGCAAAGCAGGCAGGCAGATTGAGTTGCTCACAGAATCATTCAGTGATCTATCTATCTGCCATCGGCTAGCTCAGTCTCTCAAATTTGCTTGCTGTGAATCTGCACTGAATTTGCTTGCAAGCAAACCTTCAGTCCTAAGGGAGGTTCGGCTGTGCTTAGCTAGAAAGCAAGAAATCCAACCATTTCCTGCTTCCTAGCTAATCTACATCTCCCGGCACAGCAGAACAGAGGATGGTTGGAAAAAGGAAAAATAGCAACTTAGCAGACAAGTTTTCCGGGTAAGGAGTGAGTGAGCGGGGAGGGTTTCTGCAGGCCATGTGGGCTGAGCAGCCTTGTGTTTCTGCGCAGTCTGGATTAATTGCTTTCGGGGGGTGCTCCTGGGGTGAGATTTCTCTGAGGCCCACCAAAATTTTCCCATGGCCTACCAGTGGGCTACAGCCCACCGGTTGGCGACCGCTGCTTTAGAAAATAGCTTCACCCCCTCCTCCTCTCTGGGGCAGCCCCTCAAATATTGGAGCACTGCTCTCCTGTCTTCCCTGGTCCTTCTCTTCCTTAGACCAGCCAGGCCCAGTTCCTGCAACCGTTCATAGCATGTTTTAGCCTCCAGTCCCCTCATCCTCCTGGTTGCTCTTCTCTGTACTTTTTCTAGAGTCTCAACATCTTTTTTATAATGTAAAAAAAAGATGTTGAGACTCTAGAAAAGGTGCAGAGATGAGCAAGACCGGCCATCCTAGACAGAAGATAATTCCCCTCGTGGGTGTGTGAAGCCACACTCCTTGTTTAAACCTAATTTCCTCAACCCGGAAGCCCTCTTACATGTCTTGGACAGCAGCTCTGAGGATTCCTGGCTGGTTTAAGTGTTTCCGCGTGTCGTTGTGCCTCTTTTTGGCTCACGGGGCGCGCTCTGATTCAGTTCCAGCTGACGGTGCCCGTCTCGGTGGTGTTTGCCCAGGGGGTCCTCCCGAAAGACCAGGAGCACAAAGTCCCCTTCCAGCAGGTGCAGGAGATGGAGATCCCCTTGAATGGTAAGGGGTTCTAGGTGGGCGGGGGGGCTGGTACTTCTGGGCTGGGGCTGGCGTGGCACACAAGCCTTCACAGCTGGCCCTTCAGCCAGCGCTGCAGACCTGAGCCGTGGTGTGAGGCCAGGCTCCCCTGGTCTGGTGCTCGAAGTGGCTGGGCCACATGGGCTTTGGATTTGGGGCCAACCATCCCAGAGAGAGAGAGAGAGAGAGAGAGAAAGACAAAAAGAGAGGAAGAAAGAGGAAAGGAGAGAAAGAGGGAAAGAAAGGAAAAGGAAAAGAAAGAAAGAGAAGGAAAGGTAGAGAAACAGAGATAGAGAGAAAGAGAAAGAAAGAGTAAAGGAGAGAAAGGGAAAGGAAAAGAAGAAAGAGAAGGAAAGGTAGAGAAACAGAGAGAGAAAAAGAGGGAAAGAGAAAGAAGAGAAAAAGAAAAAGAAAAAAAATCAGATAAAGAGAAAAAGGGGAGGAAAAACAAAAAGGAAGAGAAAGAGAAGGAAAGACAAAAAGAAAAAAGAGAATGAAAAAGAGATCAGATAAAAAAAAGAGAAAGAGAGAAGGTCCAGAATAAATTCCCTGCTTCCATCTCACCTGTGGCGCCTGCAGCTTTCCCTGCCAACAGGAAGGGTGGCACCAGTCAGCGTGGGAACAGAGCATGCCAGAGGTGCAGGCAAAACACAATTTTCATGTCCATGAAACGGACGGCATATAAATGAATTAAACAGTTGCACCCCAGAGAAGCCTCCCCCCCTGGCCTCTGCAGTCCGTTGCCCTCCTCTCGCCCGGAGAGGCACACGGGGGTCCTTGGACAGGATGCCTACCTGCCTGCCTTTTACACGGAGCAGCCTCCTCCCACTTGGACGCGGCACCTGTCCTTTTCCTCCGCCAGGTGTTTAGTCCTCTCCCCCCCCCTTTTGTTTCAGCCAAGACCGGTGTGGTTGCTCACTACGACCGTTCCTTTCGCCTCGCCACTTCCCAGGAGCAGGCGTTGCTGTTGCAGGCCTCGGTCCAAGGTAACAGCCGAGGGTGATGGGACAGAGTCCAGTTACGGCTCTGATTCGGACTGGGGGCGGAGGAGGGGGCTGTCCAGGTCCTGCCTGGCCACATCCAGGGACCGGAGCAGCCTCTTGGCCATCGGACCTGCTTCCCCAGAGCTCTGTGTGTGTGTGCCAGGAAAGGGGCCCCTCAGGGCTGGGTCCCTCTGGGTAGCTGAGTGTCGCCCCTCCTCTTCCTTCCAGAGGCGGACAAGGGGCTGCAGCCGGCGGAAGGGCTGCCGGTGGGCTCCCTCACCATCTACGTGATCCCCCACGGCTCTCTGCTCCTGCCCCAGGTAGGGCTGTCCGGCGCCCTTCCTTCCTTCCTTAGTTTCCTTTATTGTCCTTGCACCCCGTACAACGAAATCAAACCCCATCTTCCATGTACAATTTATGGCCATGGAAATAAACACAAACACGCCTCCTTCGCATTCTGTACAATTGAACTGAAAACTCCTGATGTTGCCATAATATTGACCTCTAGGGTAGAATCCAACAGAGCTCCTGCCCTGGGATGGAAGCTGTTTTTCAGCCTGCTTGTCCTTGTTTTTATTATTATCCTGTACCGTCTGCCAGATGGTCATAGTTCAAAAAAAGGATTCCCAGGATGAGATGGATCTTTGAGGATGTTTTGAACTTTCTCAAGGCAGCGGGAGCTACGAAGCTCTTCCAAAGAGGGGAGAGGGCAACCCAGGATCCTCTGAGGGGCAATGACGTCCACCCTCTGGAGCGCTTTCCTATCTGCCTCTGTGCAACTGGCAAACCCTACACAACTGTGCAGGAAGTTAATATGCTCTTTGTGGTGCAGCGGTAGAAGGTCCCCAGCAGTTTTCCATCCAATAGTTGTTTCCTGAGAACAAGAGTTTGGCAGAAAATCCCCAACCTTGCGGAAGATGGAACCGTCCTCGTTTTGCAACGGAGCATTTAGAAACAGCGCTCCGTGCCGGGCCTGTGCAAATTCCCCTCGGAGGGGCGGTCAGTCATTTGGCCCCGTCCAGCTGGCCGAGGGCCAAAGGCCGCTGGCAAGTCTGTCTTAACAGATAACAGATAAACAGAGTTGGAAGGGACCTTGTAGGTCATCTAGTCCAACCCCTTGCCCAAGCAGGAGACCCCACACCATTTCTCACAGGTGGGAGTCCAGTCTCCTCTTGAGAGCCTCCAGGGATGAAGCTCCCACAACTTCCAAAGGCAACTTCTGCTCCACGGGTTGATTGTTCTCACTGTCAGAAAATTCCTCCTTATTTCCAGGTTGAATCTCTCCTTGGTCAGTTTCCCTCCATTATTTCTTGTCTGGCCTTCAGGTGCCTTGGAGAATAGCTTGACTCTCAAATATTGGAAGCCCCTCAAATATTGGAAGACCGCTATCCTGTCTCCCCTGGTCCTTCTCTTCCCTAGACTAGCCAGGCCCAGTTCCTGCAACTGTTCATCGTATGTTTCAGCCTCCAGTCCCCTCATCCTCTTTCTTGCTCTTCTCTGCACTTTTTCCAGAGTCTCATCATCTGTTTTTGTACTGTGGTGACCAAAACTGCATGCAGGACTCTAGGTGTGGCCCTTACTCAGGCTTTACAGGGTGGGATTAGTGCCTCCCTGGATCTCGATAGCTCTTGGTCTCCTTCCGGCAGGGCTCAGAGATGTACATTGGGAAGCACCGGAGCGCCATCCTCAGGTGCCCCCCGGGGGCAAAGGACCTGCTGGGGGCCCTGAACGACCGGCTGCAGCAGCTGATCCAGGCCATGTCCTTCACCCCCGAGACCCTCGTGGAGGCCCTGGCCGACCGAGTCCCATTGGGCCAGCCGGGAGCCGAGTGGAAGCGCCCCTTCAAGTCCAGTTTCGGTATGGCCAGACCCTGGGAATG